GGATAGAATGTCTTCAGTTCTTTCTGACCTTCCTCGGGTTCACCCGCGAACCGTCCTCACAATACTGTTGTCGCATATTCGATTTGCTTACTCTATGTACAGGTGAATCTTTGCCTGAATGATGTGAAAAAGACTACAAGTCATTTATTGAAGTATTCATGATCCATTATAGTATACAAACGTAGACTAATCTTCTGTTGTATAATGGATTTTTCGCTGAACAAAAGCCATCAGTTTCCAGATAGACTAAGTCTGTATAATAACGAGGATTGATTTGAATCTTGAGTGCTGTTAGAGGTATGAGGGCGGTTATCACTTTCCGGTTGCCCACATCGTGCAAGGGTTCTTCTGGTTGTACCTGAAAAGGAAATTGGGTTAGGAGTGGTCTTAGTGACCTAAAAGCGTGACCGCACTGCCCAGTGAACAACTGCTTGAGGTCGGTCACACACGACCTTTTTATGGGCAATTTTTGTGTTAGCTCCGTACTTGTTGAGACCTTACCGCCGGAGACGGATATCTGTGGGATAAGGTGAGGTATGCATTTTTAGGGCCGACCATTTCTAACCCCACCCCTCCTTGTGGAAAGGCAGCATCGCCGTTATGCTGGTTGTCTGAAGAAAACACCTTACTGCTGTCACACCTCTGTACAGTCAGCAGTACGACTTCGCTCTCAGACCTTGGGTTTACTGCTTTTAGTTTTACTGTTCTTTAACCGACCTGTCTGGCATGGTAGGACCTTGAGGAACGATTGTTGCAGCCAGTATAGCTCGGTTGCTTCATCACGATAGGCCAGCCCGACTACCACGTTAAGGTAGCAACAACAGTCGGGAATAATATAGATAACATTTAACGGTTATTTATGTCATTCATTACCAAAAAAAATGACAGTATGAGATAGTTTTACCACTCAGGGTTTGGAACAAAGTAATGATCTTTATGATTTAATCAAGGTAAATTTGATCGAGTCTATAAAGAAGAAAAAAAGCAACAGCAACAATCAGACAACCTTGATATTCGGTATTTGCTGTTATGTAATTTCAATTAAATTAGAATATATTTGAACCAAAATCTGGACACTGATTTTAATGTTGTTCTATTTTGGATAGATTAAGTAACATAATCGACGGCTTAAGCAAACACACAATATAAGACAGAATAATAGATACTATAATTCTTTGTTTCTATCCAGACACTTATAAATGTACATAGGTGTACAGAAAAAAACTTGGCCAATATGAAAATGCTCAGTTATTGTGCGGTCATATAAGTTTGCGCATGAAAAGTTTTCCTACCGAATACAAAGGTTTATTTTACCATTTTTAGATAATAACCGAATTAAATCACTACAAATGAAGCTTCTTTTCAAACTATTGAATAGCTGACTAAATATCTTATTAACATTTACGTCTGTTACTGGTCATGCAGGATCATAGGCCCCTTACTACGATTCTGTATTCAATTCTGTCTTGAGCAATCCTTCCCAGTTGTTTCCAGTTACTATTCATCGTTTATATGTCTGCTTCTAATTCTTGATGAAGTGTGTTCCTTGGTTTTCCTGTTTCCATTCAGGATTCCAAGTTGGTGCTTGCTTCGTCATACAGTTCGATGATTTCCTCGGAGTATGTCCTATCTACTTCCATCGTTTTTTCCTAATTTCCTCTTCAGCTAGAAGCTGGTACATGTGACGATGACCCTGTTATTTTTAACGTAAGTTGAAGCTGCTGTTTCGTCTACTCACTGTAACGACAGGATTTCGTCCGTTTTAGCTAGTTATCGCTCACATCTGATATGATAGGGAAAAGCAAACATACCGTCAAATTTCGATGGAAACCAAAGCTAATTAATCTACACAAGTCCCAATAGCTAATTATAAACTGATTCGAAAATTAAGCTACTTATAAGTAGTATCGTATCTTCTTTGACATTTTCTAAGTCATTTATTTATTTATTTCTTCATTTATTTACTTACTAAACACAAACATCGGTACAAGAGGGTACCAAATACATGTGCGCCAAGCAATAACAGTGAGGTTGCAAAGAGGTAGAGAATATAAAGTGTGTATAATAAAAACAAGAACAACAACGAACAGAAATTAGTTTATGATAGTGAAGTAATAATAATGGGAGAAACAGTTCAGTTAGCTATGAAGGAAGTTACTGAAGGATCGCCACTGGTTTCTATTTCAAGCCATGTCCCATAACGTCCCTGGACAGCTTTCATCCATACCACTACACCATGTCATACACTGACCACCTCTCCGCTTTTTCCAACCAGTTCTAGAGTCATCAAATAATGCATGACATGGAATTCTCTGGGACGAAATTCGTAATACGTGTCCAAGCTGCCGAAGTCAATGTTTCAAGATAGTGAAACCAATTGAGTTATCGTCGCTGTGCCCGAACACACGATCCTGAACTTCTGCACACTAACATGGTGTTGCTACTGGATGTTAGAAATCCTTTGGAGACAACGATGATCAAACACAGTCACCTAGCATCCTCAATACTGAGAGGACAGGTTTCACAAGCACGGTGTTGTAGGTCTCACCTTTCACAGACAGACTAACATTACGAGGACGCCAAAGATTGCCTAGATTGGCATAAGCTGCTCTTGATTTCACTATACGTGAGTCGATCTCATCACTCACGCCACCACCAGCACTTATGCAGCTACCCAGATACACGAACTTCTCAACTACTTCTATCTGCTCACTACCCAGAGTGAGTGCAGGCTCAGTGGCCTGCCAGTCTTGTTAAAGTACTTTGCACTTTGAAGGTGCAAAGCACATACCATACCTACGGACACTAATTGGCAACTGACTAAGTGCGGGTTTCATGTTTTGGGGATCATCGCACTATAAGACAATATCACCCGCATAGTCACGTTCGTAAATCTTTCTCCAGACAAGAGATTCACACCGCCATTACTTACATCTACCGGAGCTGTTTCCAAAATGTCATCGATGGCAAAGTTGAAGAGGAATGGTGAGATTGGGCAACCCTGTTTAACCCCACTGCTTGAATAGAACAATGGAGAGAGGTGGTTGTATGCCCTCACTCTGCCTGGGGTGTTTGTATATAGGGCTTTTAGGATGTTAATGAACTTCTCAGGCACACTATTCTTCAATAGACAATCCCAGAGAGTAGTCCTGTCCAACGAATCGAAGGCGGCCGTAATGTTAAGAAACACTACGATTGTTGGCGTGTGATAAGTTTGACGATGTTCTAACATTTGGTGGAAGGTGAATTTATGATCAATACATCCTCGACTAAAAAGAAAACCAGCCTTCTCACACGTCAATCTTTCTCGAGTTTTGAACAATCCACGATGAATGACGGAAGCCGATAGTTTGGATGCAATTGGAAGCAAACGTATCTCCTGATAGTTGTTGCAGAAACGACATGGACCTTTTTTAAATATAGTAACGACAATCAACTTATTCCATGATGTTGGGACACTCTCTAATTGTCAGACCTTTGCAAACAACTCAGTCAGTTCCGTAACCAGGAAGTCAGAACCATTATTCCAAAGTACTCCAGGGTAAAATTTAGGACGTATTTGACAACACCATTGAGAATGTGAAATAATGACCAAGCGACCAACGATGTTCACATATATGTACAGACAGAAACAGCGAACAGGATGACTTAAATTTTTTACTTAATGTAAAAACACTCCTATTTGAAGCGACAAATTTGTCTGCACTGAGTTATATTAAAGAAAATACTCCTGACTGGATAATCTAGTATGTTTGATCAGATGGAGGTAAACTGTTATCTGAGAGATCACTCGGAAATATGTCTAAGAGATTCCAAAAAATCTAGAAAAGCACGTCTTATTAGTCTTGGAGAACGGCATTTAAAAACAAATTTAATCTGCTGTCTAAACAACTGAATTAGCTTCCGTTCCTGATATTAGGTGAATAACTACCATATTGCGATCGGCTAAGGAATAAATTCGCCACGCATCGGTGTTCAAGAACAAATATCCCAATTCTTTAAGTTTCACAGAGTTCGAAACACGCCTCAATTAGTTGACTTCATTTTGTACAACAATAAGACAAGAAATCATAGTATTCAGACGGAATGAATACTATTTGAAACTGACATCCTGAAATGACACTTTAAGCATGCAACGATAACTGGATGCTACATAATGTTGACAGGTTTTACTACCTTAAGAAGTTTACAAGTAAAATGTTTGCTTCTTTGAAGTCAATGATTTTTATGTGTTACACATAAACTTCAATAAGTCGAAATCCAGATCTCAGCTAATAGACACAAATCCAGAGTGCTACAAGAAAGCTGATTCCTAATTACAGTACAGTAGAGACAAACTACATACGACTAGAAACGTCTTATTGTAAAAGTGACATTCTCGACATTGATGTGAGTTTTACTGATCCATGATATATAAGTTAATACTTGAAAAACGAAAGAAATTTTGTTTGTACAGGTTAACTTATTTAGTACATATCTGTACATAATGCATCTAGAAATGAATTTAGGATTACAAATGAAGTACTGTTGCCCGATAACTTATTATCTAGAAAAATAATTATAATTAATCTCCTGGTACGACCGACCATGGGAGAGTCAGCTCTCTTGAAATGCTCTCACATGGCCACGTGTATACAACCACTGATAGGGAAGTCTTACTGCTTTCTCTCAGTGAGGATGTTGTTTACGAAATTGAGAGGACGAAAAGTGAATGTCCAGCACTTTAACCAGGTTGATGTACATGGAGTTCACCTAGGGGATTTGGAAAACCCTGATTCCAAATCAATGGTGCACATGGGGTTCAGGATCCTGAGCGAACAAATGGTGTATTAGCCAATCGTTGGTCACCGGCTACCATGGGACTGCATCTCTAGACGTCGCTTTACTGTCTTGTGGATTAGACCTTTAGGTCAAAGGCTCCAAGCGTGGCCCCCTAAGAAAACCACCTACTTCGGTTTGGGCACCCGGACAGTATCCTATCACTCACACAAATAGAATGATTTATGTGTTTAAATAATAAATAATAATGACGGAATATTTATTATTGATGATATATTATTTGTCATATGTACAATTGTATCCGAGACAATATATTTACACAAACAACAAAGACATGTAAGTGAACGTAAGAAAAAACGCGTCGAACAATATCTTTACGACTTTAAAAAAGTAACAATGTACGAGTAGTATATTGTATGTATATATTAAAAATGAAAAAGGTTTTGGATTGACGGTGACATCAATCATTTGATTGGTTGACTGAATATAGAGTTGTCGAGATATTCATTGCAAACATTTACGTGTGAACTCAATCGTTGTATGCAAAGTTGAAGCTGAAATAAAATCGAGAAGCCAAAGAATAAGCCAACAATAACGACCATACAAAGGAACGTATGGATATAACTAATTGTTAAGTTTGTCTTACAGTGTTCCTACATGTTCCTTTTCTACTCTTTTGTATGTTGTTTTATACTACTTATTTACATTCAGTAGGCAGTTGTATACCCAACAATTTTCACACTTATGTTGTAACTCAAGTTGTACTGTAACATTCTGGAATGTTCACATATATCTTTAATGTTTATTTTACTTATAATTGTATTTATCATTATAATCACTGTAATTTAATTACTGTAAAGGTTATCCACAGTTTTATGCATTTGTTTGAATGCAACGGTTTCCATATTGTTTGCTCTTGGTTCGAGTTTCGGTTGTTCATAAACTGTTACCAAATTTAGACACAGCTATCGGCTGTCTTTGGACTATCGAAGCCTTTGCTATTTTTATTCTTGAACGACGCGTTTGAACGCCCAGACACCTCACAAGTTGAGGTTTGTAACTAAATTTCGTATATTATTTAATAAAGAACCGCTTTTGTAGACAAATCGTTGTTTTGGAACTTCGATTTCGCGCGTATCTCAATCGGGGTTACTTCGACGCTTCGATAGAATTAACAGTTCTCAACTTTGGCTCCTCGACCGGGAATCGAACCCGGGCCTTCCACGTGACAGGCGGAGATACTTACCACTATACTATCGAGGAAGAAAGGTATTTTGTTCCACATCATCCCGTATTTAACCCTAAAAAACCAGGTAAAGTTCGGATAGTCTTCGATTGTGCTGCTAAGTTACAAAACAGATCTCTAAATGATTGTATATATTCTGAACCAGATCTTACAAACGACCTAGTGGGAGTTTTGCTTAGATTCAGAAAGCATAAGATTGGATTGTCAGCAGACATTGAAGAAATGTTCCTCCAGGTACATCTACCCGAAAAGGATACAAAGGCCTTCAGCTTTTTATGGTACCCCGATGGCAATCTTGATTCTCCTCCTGACGTCTATGAGTTGCATGTACACCCTTTCGGGGCTACGTCCTCACCGTTTTGCGCTACATATGCTTTAAGACGCACAGCTACAGACCACCGAGATTTGTTCGATGAAAAAACACTGTCCACTTTACGAGAAAATTTTTATGTAGACGATTGTTTAGTCTCAGTAGAAACAATATCAGAAGCTGCTGAGTTAGCAAAGAACCTAATGAGACTAGTGGCACTTGGAGGCTTCCGTTTACATAAATGGGTTAGTAACGTAAATGAAGCGCTGAATGACGTCCCTATAGGTGACAGATCAAACAATTTGGTTCGTATACCAGGCTCAACAGAACGTATACAGAGAACTTTAGGACTTTGTTGGCACACGCAATCCGATTGTTTCGCATTCGACGTAAATCTTCCCGAACGCCCGATCACTAAGAGAGGCATTCTATCATGTGCATCATCGTTATATGACCCGCTTGGATTTCTAGCGCCTTTATCACTTACTCCTAAACGAATTCTGCAACAGCTATGTCGTAAAAACTATGGGTGGGATGAGATGATAGACGAAGAGTCACGATTGAGTTGGGAAGGTTGTTTAGAAGCAAAGAGTTCTATCGAGGACGGACCCACGCCACCCTCTTCTTTGACCACAGTAGCGCCTGAAAACTCTTCAAATCGTTTGTTGCCGTTCATAGATAATCCTGGTTTATGCCTTAAACACTCTCCTGATGTGTCACTCTTAGTCGATGATGATGTACACTCACTCATAGTAACAGCAACCGCTGTTGAGACTGAAGATTCCAGGGTTCATCAAGGTTTACTGTCAGTTCGTTCTTCTGGATTTGACACTCCACCTGATTCAAGAAGTAACCGACTTATATACACCTTTGACTCTGTATCAAAAGCGACAGACGAGAATCTAATGGATTTAGAACAAGTTATTTCATCACCAGCTGTTGACGATGAGTACCTTCTAAAAACTGTCAACGATAGTCACGTCGATACAGTAGTGAATATTGACCTTAGATATATTTCTCCTCCAGACAAAATTCTTCCAACAGATAGCGGCGAGTTAATGTCATCGAAAACATCTGTTAGGTTCTCTGCCGAAACAGATCTCCCTAGTGTTTCTGACGTGAACGATAGTGCTAAATCTGTAATACTACTACACGAGTCATCAATTAGTTGCAAAGCAACAACAACTCAGTTCTCTGCAAATACGAAACTTGTATCTCCTGTAGTGGCGTCTGCTGAGAGTTCTATTGACATCGAGCGTGAAACAGAGAATCAGAAAGATGATTGTTTTATTCAGTTTGCTGATGATGATAAGAAGTTTAAGACAACTGTATCCATGTCTCCTTTAGTTGGGTTAGACAAGCAGATACAACATCCATTACCAGACTTTAAGGATAGTAGAGTAGCCGAAGAAATGACTCATCGGAACATAGAATGGCACCATAACACTCCTTACGCAAATCATCATCGAGTATGGGAAAGATTAATAGGAAGCATACGTAGACTTTCGAGCGCAGTATCTATGTCCTACGAGACACTCACCACCTGTTTGACTGAAGCAGAGAGAATACCTAATGATAGACCACTCTTACAGACGCGAACGAAATGGACACAAGGAAGACGAGATTTACAAGTTCGCGGTCCAGTCTTGATTATTGGAGACACTTGTACACGAAATTACTGGCCTAAAGGCCTCGTGGTAAGTTTTGATCCAGGAGGAGATGGTCTATGGAACCAAGCGAAGATCAGAACGTGGAAGGGTACAATTATTAGAGGCATATGTAAAATTTGTTTATAAGAAGGAGCTGATGACCGAAAAGTAGAGGATAGAGAGACTTTTCAGAGTGACTGTGGCTAGAGTAAATTGTACCATTGTCACCTCTGAATGTTTTTACGTTAATACCTAATCAGCGAAAGTAAGGAAAGACATGCTGTCTTTGGGGGGCGGTGTTAAGTTTGTCTTACAGTGTTCCTACATGTTCCTTTTCTACTCTTTTGTATGTTGTTTTATACTACTTATTTACATTCAGTAGGCAGTTGTATACCCAACAATTTTCACACTTATGTTGTAACTCAAGTTGTACTGTAACATTCTGGAATGTTCACATATATCTTTAATGTTTATTTTACTTATAATTGTATTTATCATTATAATCACTGTAATTTAATTACTGTAAAGGTTATCCACAGTTTTATGCATTTGTTTGAATGCAACGGTTTCCATATTGTTTGCTCTTGGTTCGAGTTTCGGTTGTTCATAAACTGTTACCAAATTTAGACACAGCTATCGGCTGTCTTTGGACTATCGAAGCCTTTGCTATTTTTATTCTTGAACGACGCGTTTGAACGCCCAGACACCTCACAAGTTGAGGTTTGTAACTAAATTTCGTATATTATTTAATAAAGAACCGCTTTTGTAGACAAATCGTTGTTTTGGAACTTCGATTTCGCGCGTATCTCAATCGGGGTTACTTCGACGCTTCGATAGAATTAACAGTTCTCAACTTTGGCTCCTCGACCGGGAATCGAACCCGGGCCTTCCACGTGACAGGCGGAGATACTTACCACTATACTATCGAGGAAGAAAGGTATTTTGTTCCACATCATCCCGTATTTAACCCTAAAAAACCAGGTAAAGTTCGGATAGTCTTCGATTGTGCTGCTAAGTTACAAAACAGATCTCTAAATGATTGTATATATTCTGAACCAGATCTTACAAACGACCTAGTGGGAGTTTTGCTTAGATTCAGAAAGCATAAGATTGGATTGTCAGCAGACATTGAAGAAATGTTCCTCCAGGTACATCTACCCGAAAAGGATACAAAGGCCTTCAGCTTTTTATGGTACCCCGATGGCAATCTTGATTCTCCTCCTGACGTCTATGAGTTGCATGTACACCCTTTCGGGGCTACGTCCTCACCGTTTTGCGCTACATATGCTTTAAGACGCACAGCTACAGACCACCGAGATTTGTTCGATGAAAAAACACTGTCCACTTTACGAGAAAATTTTTATGTAGACGATTGTTTAGTCTCAGTAGAAACAATATCAGAAGCTGCTGAGTTAGCAAAGAACCTAATGAGACTAGTGGCACTTGGAGGCTTCCGTTTACATAAATGGGTTAGTAACGTAAATGAAGCGCTGAATGACGTCCCTATAGGTGACAGATCAAACAATTTGGTTCGTATACCAGGCTCAACAGAACGTATACAGAGAACTTTAGGACTTTGTTGGCACACGCAATCCGATTGTTTCGCATTCGACGTAAATCTTCCCGAACGCCCGATCACTAAGAGAGGCATTCTATCATGTGCATCATCGTTATATGACCCGCTTGGATTTCTAGCGCCTTTATCACTTACTCCTAAACGAATTCTGCAACAGCTATGTCGTAAAAACTATGGGTGGGATGAGATGATAGACGAAGAGTCACGATTGAGTTGGGAAGGTTGTTTAGAAGCAAAGAGTTCTATCGAGGACGGACCCACGCCACCCTCTTCTTTGACCACAGTAGCGCCTGAAAACTCTTCAAATCGTTTGTTGCCGTTCATAGATAATCCTGGTTTATGCCTTAAACACTCTCCTGATGTGTCACTCTTAGTCGATGATGATGTACACTCACTCATAGTAACAGCAACCGCTGTTGAGACTGAAGATTCCAGGGTTCATCAAGGTTTACTGTCAGTTCGTTCTTCTGGATTTGACACTCCACCTGATTCAAGAAGTAACCGACTTATATACACCTTTGACTCTGTATCAAAAGCGACAGACGAGAATCTAATGGATTTAGAACAAGTTATTTCATCACCAGCTGTTGACGATGAGTACCTTCTAAAAACTGTCAACGATAGTCACGTCGATACAGTAGTGAATATTGACCTTAGATATATTTCTCCTCCAGACAAAATTCTTCCAACAGATAGCGGCGAGTTAATGTCATCGAAAACATCTGTTAGGTTCTCTGCCGAAACAGATCTCCCTAGTGTTTCTGACGTGAACGATAGTGCTAAATCTGTAATACTACTACACGAGTCATCAATTAGTTGCAAAGCAACAACAACTCAGTTCTCTGCAAATACGAAACTTGTATCTCCTGTAGTGGCGTCTGCTGAGAGTTCTATTGACATCGAGCGTGAAACAGAGAATCAGAAAGATGATTGTTTTATTCAGTTTGCTGATGATGATAAGAAGTTTAAGACAACTGTATCCATGTCTCCTTTAGTTGGGTTAGACAAGCAGATACAACATCCATTACCAGACTTTAAGGATAGTAGAGTAGCCGAAGAAATGACTCATCGGAACATAGAATGGCACCATAACACTCCTTACGCAAATCATCATCGAGTATGGGAAAGATTAATAGGAAGCATACGTAGACTTTCGAGCGCAGTATCTATGTCCTACGAGACACTCACCACCTGTTTGACTGAAGCAGAGAGAATACCTAATGATAGACCACTCTTACAGACGCGAACGAAATGGACACAAGGAAGACGAGATTTACAAGTTCGCGGTCCAGTCTTGATTATTGGAGACACTTGTACACGAAATTACTGGCCTAAAGGCCTCGTGGTAAGTTTTGATCCAGGAGGAGATGGTCTATGGAACCAAGCGAAGATCAGAACGTGGAAGGGTACAATTATTAGAGGCATATGTAAAATTTGTTTATAAGAAGGAGCTGATGACCGAAAAGTAGAGGATAGAGAGACTTTTCAGAGTGACTGTGGCTAGAGTAAATTGTACCATTGTCACCTCTGAATGTTTTTACGTTAATACCTAATCAGCGAAAGTAAGGAAAGACATGCTGTCTTTGGGGGGCGGTGTTAAGTTTGTCTTACAGTGTTCCTACATGTTCCTTTTCTACTCTTTTGTATGTTGTTTTATACTACTTATTTACATTCAGTAGGCAGTTGTATACCCAACAATTTTCACACTTATGTTGTAACTCAAGTTGTACTGTAACATTCTGGAATGTTCACATATATCTTTAATGTTTATTTTACTTATAATTGTATTTATCATTATAATCACTGTAATTTAATTACTGTAAAGGTTATCCACAGTTTTATGCATTTGTTTGAATGCAACGGTTTCCATATTGTTTGCTCTTGGTTCGAGTTTCGGTTGTTCATAAACTGTTACCAAATTTAGACACAGCTATCGGCTGTCTTTGGACTATCGAAGCCTTTGCTATTTTTATTCTTGAACGACGCGTTTGAACGCCCAGACACCTCACAAGTTGAGGTTTGTAACTAAATTTCGTATATTATTTAATAAAGAACCGCTTTTGTAGACAAATCGTTGTTTTGGAACTTCGATTTCGCGCGTATCTCAATCGGGGTTACTTCGACGCTTCGATAGAATTAACACTAATCAATATACATTTGATTGAATTTGGTATATGTCATACTTTTTACTGACTACGAGTTGAATGATATAAACGCTTATGGTGAACTACCACTGGAGCTGATTTTTATTTAACATTATCATAGACATTCTTTTAGAGATAGCATTCGCATCATCTGACTTGTCAGGAATCGATCATCTACCAGAAGTTTGTGTAAACTTGGGATACGCAGATGACATAACTCTGTTCGGAAGAGACTCCAAAAACATGCAGTTCTTCGAACAGCTATAGCAACAATGCACTTTTTGCCCGCTAAATGCGAAATGTTGCTTCAGGACTAGTTTATACCAACGCCTGGACTCAGGATAGGGATTGAAGCAGTTAAGCGTTTTACCTATCTTGAAAACCCTGATATGTCGATGTCGGACGAAATCTCGGTACGAATTCAAAAAGCCCAGTTGATTCTCGCCAACCCAGATCACTCGTGGGGCAGGTAAGATATCCATTTGACACTTAAAGAACGAGCGTACTGTACAGCAGTTCACTCTGTTTTATGGTTGTGAAACGAGGCCTTTAAATATAGAGGATATTCATAGACTACCAGCATTTGACCTTTGGTGTCTACGAACCATTGCTCGTATATCTTGGGACCACTGAGTTAGCGGTTCTGAGGTTAGATTCAAAGTTCTAAGTGATTACAACAAATCGATTGACTAGGTGGTGAATCTTTATCGACTGAAATGTTTAGGACATGACATGTTCTACTTATGCTGACCCATCGCAACTTTGACATGGCTCAAAATCCTCCACAAAGCCCCTAACCACTAGTTACGACAATCATGAGAACCCTAACCAGATAGTCTGAACCTATCTACATGAGTCATTTCAACTGTCAGTGTCATCATGAACTGGTGCCATGTCATAGTTCGCCCACACCTAGGTTTCTTTCAACTTGCTTCTACACTAGCCATCACCCCTCGTCATGGTAGTCGATGGGTGAACATACGTAGAACATGTCATGTCCTAAACATCTCAGTCGATAAAGATTCACCACCTAGTCAATCGATTTGCTGTAATCACTTAGAACTTTGAATCTAACCTCAGAACCGCTAACTCAGTGGTCCCAAGATATACGAGCAATGGTTCGTAGACACCAAAGGTCAAATGCTGGTAGTCTATGAATATCCTCTATATTTAAAAGCCATGTTTCACAACCGTAAAACAGAGTGAACTGCTGAGCAGTAAACTAATCCTTTGGTTGAGAGATGGATATCTCGCGTATAAAAAGGAACTTTACATGCATAACTTACCGACTTAATACTTGAGGTAAGGAAGAAATAATTGGACCATAGGCTCGGGCATTGTCAAAAAGTTCGAACAACGGAGCTGCTACTAATTTATAATTTGATGGTACAGCAAACAATGTTTTCTCAGGAAGTTGAATTAGAAATAAACGTGTTTGTTCTTTAGGTTTAGTTACATGGGCAGGAATATATGGATAGCGAGGTGGTTCAAAATTCGGTCGCCACCAATTACCGATACAGTCTTCTGGAATCCAGTCAACTGGGATACCATCCGTCCGGCCTAACATCTAAATGGAAAAGATATATATATAATATTTCATTCATAGAAAAAACCATTATGATGGTAGAATAAACCTATATCGTTTGATTTCCCTAGTCAAATTTGGCCAAACTGTTAAATACGTTTAAAAAGCAGTGAAAAGAATCACATGGGGACACAGGAGTAATGTTATACAAAGTATTAAGCCTAGCTCGTTTTATAAATATAAAACGCCAGGTACTTGGATATGAGCCACACTCTAAGTACGAGGGTTAGTGATACTACCCGGTTAGGGTAGTTGGGGCGGGGTTCGGACTTGAGTTTCAGTGGTCGAGATTTAGGCGCCTTAACTACTGAACCGCCTCTCTAAACTAAAATAGGAAGCCATATCTACTCATATCCAAACAGAATATTACACATGACTGGAAAATAATTTATTTGAAATGTTATGGATAAGAATTATTGTCGATGTGGATCGACGGTTAACAATTGACGGAAAGCAGTAACTAAGATTTCAAGGAAATTTGTTCAATCTGAGAAGCCTAATTCGATAATGATTCATTTGACAATGAGTCAAAAGTAGGAAAATGGATAGTCGAATTGTATACATGACATGTGCATTTGCTTTGTTGATTTCTTAATGGTTTGATGTAAAATATTTTCAACATACCTCAGATAATAATCGCTTCAGTCCTTCAATTTCTTCTTCACCTGGATGCAGTTCACCTCCAGGGAGTTTGAAAAACGTACCGAGTTGAAGCAATAGAACATGAGGTAGGTTGTGTTCATGTACAAGTAAGATTCCTTCAACTGACCGACGCATACCATACTTCTCAAAATCCTCCTGTAACCGTTGAAATCGAGCAGGAACACTCCGATCTCGTTCATAATTGGGTTCTTTGGTTCCAAAACTGTAACTTTTCAAAGGATATCTAAATACGAATTGGAAATAGGGACAAATTTTATGTGCGCTATGCATTGTTGTATCGCATTAAGCAAGGTTCAAAACCGACTTCATGCAAAATTCATGGAACATCAAATATTCGAAACGAACAAACAATCAGCCCTTACATTACTATAGACAACAAGATTAGTTAATTATCTGGGTGATTTCACCTTTGAATACAATTCTTAGTAAGAACACTTGCCATATTAAATAGCGATAGAATGCATCTGTAAATAAATTCACCATAGGAAAAGGAAAATCATCTACTAATCAAACATATTCGTTAAAAAGTCGTACTCTGGTGCTAAAACCTCAGAGTGCAAGGAGATGAAGCAAATAAATCCCGAAGTACAAGTGAATGAATTTTTTCTCCTTGTAAGCTGTCATACTGAGCATTACGGAGTGAGTTAAAATCCGTGGGAAAAGTCTGGGTACATCATGAACGTGGATAAATTGTTATTTTTTCCAGCCAATAGTTTTTTTTCTCGAAGAACTTTACAAATACAAACTTAAACTATAAACCTGTTGTAAACGATGGATATAATGGAAGGTGCTGTATCATGTTTGATACTATTATTATTATTAATGGCTGACACTAACCCGATTAAAACGTTTATGAACTATTTTGGTTTAGAGATTCCGGTTATTTAAATTGCTTATACAGAGAACATATTTATTATCTCATGATATCTGGATATAAGTAAAACATGTATCAATTCACAAATGCGAAGGAACCAAATAACAAAATCTACTAATCAGGTGAGCACACATTTAGAATGACGCTAGAAAGACTGTAGAGGGGTGTTTTCTAATAAACTTTATACCCGTATAAAAAATCGATGAGAGGCTGTAACAGTCCGGAGATCTGTTAAGCATTATTAATTCTATGTAAAACGCAGCTCAGTATACAACATTGTATTCAACTAAACCTCACTTATGATGTCAACAAACTAACACAGCTCCCACAACAGAACGTTATTATTTGTATGATTCAGTTGCACAAGTAGAAGAATAAGCTAGACATATTTAATCTCATCCTCAAACTAATCATAAGATCGGGTAGAAAAACTATCTGAACGAAAATTGAATCGTGCAGGTAAGTACAAAAAGATGAATCAGTGGTAAAAGTCTATTCATTCTTATCAAAAACTATTTACATCAAAATTTGACCGTTACTCCAGAGTTCATGACTGCATTTATGTACAAAAAAAAAGTTACCTAAAGCATCATGAGACTCCCATGTAGGTTCGAGTCAATAGCAAACTACTGGGATCTTTGAATCACTTACAGCGTTATTGTTTTAGCAACGGGTGTAGAATGGAGGAACTTCTCGGCCGAACCTTTCGGCCAGCCTGTCATGTGTACCATATTAGTGTAACGTACAAAATTTGGTGCCGCGCACTAAATAGAAGTTTCAAATCTTAACATCTAGGAAAGTAAACTCAATGATCCATAATACCCACTGTCTAGTGTTGACTAGTTGGCTTCCTTTTGCTCGATTCTTAATGCTATGGTACATTTCTACGCCTTTAGTATCGTCTAATGTATATGGCCTAGCTACTAGGTGCACCAGTTCTTGTGATTTTGACAATAATTCAGGGGTTGACAGAAGTTTTTCTCATGGAGATTTACTCTTTTCTTGAAATTTTTCATCTACAGCACTAATACTACTTGTTTGATGACGAAACTGTAGCCAGTGATCACTAGATTGAAAAAGTGGTGTAGCGGTAAATAAATCCCTAAAATAAATAGCTCTGTAAGTTTTCGACATCGGATACCGACCACATTAGTCTTGATGGACTCAACTAGCTGAAGGCGCTCGGTCATGCATCCGCACCAAATCACGAGTGGGAACGCCGTGCTCAACAACCCCTTCAATCGCTAGCTGGATGATATCAGACGACCCTCGATATATTGATAGCCTATCAAATACATCTTCGAACCTCCTCACTTCTGTCTTTTGATTTCACTTGGTGGGTACGCTTCATATTAGAATTTTTTACTGGTTAAAGCTTTGTCAAACTCCGAATACATGTGGCATCTTCAGTGGAATGCCAACCTGATTTTCTTTAGTCAATTTCAGAGAGTTTTGTGGGAACATTAAAATTCTACTGATATCTAGTTAAGTCGTATATTAACCCGAGCCTTTATTACGTTATTTAGCAGATCACTGAACTTTGATTATCGTCAATTGGTGTTGCGCTATTGATATGCTTACATGGGAGTGTTCATACAGCTCACTTCCTAATCCGTTCTATTTGACATAAGAAGTCACTTTGGTAAGATTCCGCTTATTGCGCTCAGTCATGTCAATAGGTTCAGATTGTCTGGTTAGGGTCCGCATGATTACCATAACCAATGAATAGAGACTTTGTATGACATGGCTCAAAATCGTCCACAATGACGGAGATGCATGTACTAATTGCATTCCTCTAAAGACGAAGCTCCGAAATTTTCCTGTGCCCTTTTTCTTTCCTGCATATATTTTTTCTACTGCCGATACTACTTGCACTTCTTTGGGAATCGTCTTCAAATAATTTCACCTGATCACGTGAATGTTACATGACATCTTAAAGCGGTGCGTGTATTTGTCAATTTCCTAGCTGCACATAATGATGATATTACCGGAGGATTTAATTGCCTAGGTACTACGTTCGGGTAATTCAGGCTGTGTATTAGAAGTAGGTTAAGATATCATATCACATCGATTCATTTTAAATGGACCGCATTTTTTTCTGAAGATAAGTAGCTTTTTGATGGTTTTACGGATTAATAGTTATTAACACCATACATTATCGCATCCAAGTTGTGGTTTTGTGGAATTATGGTCTAAATCACTATAAGTCGTACTTTAGTAATAAACCGAATTCCATAATTGCAGATTTTTCATGATGTGAATACCTAATCTATGAGATCTTAGGTGGAAATCCCATCATTTTCTACACTGACTCGTCGTATCAATTCAATTAATAATATGATACTTAGTACTTCTGAAGAACATATTTAAGCTGAGGTTAGGATGACGTATTTAATGCGAATAAAGAAAGTTATGCAGAATGACCACGTCTGTGAGGCTGAGCCATGCTATCCGACTGAATGAATTTTCCCGCGTTCCCCATTGTTGACCCTCTCTCCATGCTAAATTTTAAATGTCTATTTTGTTAGTTATGTCAGGTTCAGCTTTGGGGATTGTGTTGTTAGGACCAATACCACCACAGTTTGAGTTTTGTAATACCATTATCATATTATTATATATATATATAAGAGGTTGAAAACTTCTGTTCCCCGCTTAGTGGCCAATCCTCACGGGGCCCTGAAAGTATTTTTGTCCTGAATAGACATATAGTACCTGATTAGAAGAGGTATTTCGTAGAAGATAGGAAAAAACTCTAACAGTTTCCCCAAGGTACCTATAGGCTCTACCATACGACATTAATATATCTAACAATTTGCTCTCTGTTGTATGGCATTTTGAAGTGGTCTCTAATTCGTAGACCTTTTCACTCTGAACTTTATGTTAAAGGTGTCCTATAGATTGTCTATCGACGCCCACTCTCTTAGCTGATGATCATCAGTGAACTGTTGTTGAAATCTTGTGGTGTTTATATGAAATGATGGAACTTTTGTATATCATTGTGAACATTGTTCGGAATGTGACACCTTCACATATAAACCATCTTTTTCTTTATTTGTTATCTGACAAATTTGTAGCTACTAGAGTAGATTTTGGACAGACCTGGAAATTTCAAGTGCATGCATTACATTTAATGTCAGTAATAATTACAGGCTTTTCTCAAAGTACTAACTGTCGAACTATCTGAGCATGTTATCTGATTCAGATCGCAGCTCAGTCCCTCTAGTAGTTGGTTCTGGGCGACACAAATTCAATGTGCGGAATGTAGAATTTCATATATCCGATTGTTCTTTGACGCGTGATCCTGTTATGATCATCTCTCTGATGGTCATGGTAACCACCTGTTGGGTTACAGCCTTAGGGTGATCTGAACCGTAGTTTTATAGTTCAATAGGAAAGTTTGCATTCCACCAAATTAGTATACTTGTGTTTTATCCCTTAGCGACCCAACTTTTTCATTACATATGTCTCCGTTTTCGCTGAAACTTATGACCACCATATTAAGAGAGGAAGTAGGAGTAAAAGGACTGTCTACATGTGGCTGAACTCACGTTTAAACGACATTAAAATCATCCCAATTGTCGGCGCATCTAAGTGTTCAGTGAGAAATTAATGCGTAGTACAGACTTCAGAGGTGTCATTGAAATCCTTGGTCATATGAGTCCATCTGTTCTGTTGGTAGAAAATCTGTTAAGTTCTTTTGGGGTTCAATGAAAACATTTGTCCGGTCACCATTCAGCTCACTTACTCTTGCTTCAGTAACAGGGAAACATTGTCCATTTCATGTGAGGCCACTACCAATTCGATGTCTTGTTGAAGTATACTAGAACATTATATCCTAAAGTGAATTCGGAGTCAACTGAAACTTCAAGACGAATTTTTATACACATCACTGTGTAGGAGCTGAACTACCTAATGTCTACTAACCTGGAAACCAGGGTACAATGGAACCAAAGGAATAAGGAAGTTTTGATAGACAGAGTCATTTTTGTCTTTGGGCACATCTTAAGTGTAATTAGCAGTAGAATCCAAGACATGTGTTTCGCCATACTCCGGACTCATAAATTGGTACTTCTGCACCCCAGTATTTATGTTCACACCAAGACCCATATCCAGTGCCTGATAGCTCGACCAGCGAGAACATATGAACCAATAATACTTGCTTCGAACATCCACTACTTAAGACTCATTTAATCGCTGGCTGGTTAATATTATTCTTATTTAAACATAGAACACGGAACTATACCATTTTATGTAAAAAATGACTAACCCTATCGCTTGCTCATTTTTCTTGTATCCCCACAGTAACAAGCAAATTCCGACATTTAGCTTAAATGCAGAGGACCAACGGGCCAAAGTGTATCTGATTACACGGACTTACATTCTACTACATGACGTAAAAGTTCCTTTTGAGTCATGAGCATTTAACTTTATCAAACTACGAACATTGTGTTTAATTTAATTGGTTCGAATTTAAAAGGGCAAACAAATTTTCTCAGAAGTACAGAATACCCCAGACGGTACAGCCGGCGTTATACAGTCAAAGGTCTTCCTAGAACAAAATAGCTTACCAGACAGCAAAAGTAATAGCTAATAAATATTTGCTCGATACCTGGAAAACAATATGTTTATTCCTAGCAAAATGGTATCAACATCTATTTGTGAGGATCGGGGTAACCGTTCCTGGCAGATAGTCAAAGAACAACAATGGTCAACCGAACTACTCAGTAACATTTAGTTCGGTCCAAGACGATCTTAGTATTCCTACTGTTATAGTCAGTAATGGTCGATAGGCATGTCTTGAACTTTTCATTCGTAGTTGATTGTGCCATCTTACGTTTTTTGGATTAATCACATTAATTTGTTTTAGGAATGGACTATGACCTTTTTGATCAAAACTCTGTCGAGACTGTACGACAGTATAAAGTCCACGGTCGTATTCTCTTCAAAGCCTTACAAATGAAATATGACAATATTTGGATGGGAATAGAAAGAAGGATTGATGGTGCCGGGCTGTCATATATGCTGATCTAAGTCATTCAATCATTTTCATTGTTATCTAACTGAACTTACAGGCTATGTAAGCCTTAAAACCAATGATTCCTTGTTTCTTAACAAACATTAGTAGAAATAAATGACCCAGAATAATCCTGTACTATAGCCTCTGTATTAAAATGAATTTTAAACCGAGTAGATCTATGAAGGGTGACAAAAAATCCTATTTGTGACTGATGTTAGTAGCTGTTGTAATCTTTCTTTCTTACTGTATGAACCAGCTATTCCTATTGCTTAGTATTCTCGGACACCGATTCACTCGACAAGTTCCCAAGTCAGAACACGGTTGAACAGGAAAGAGATTATATTCCGAATAACAAGGTTAGATGGAAGTAAGAAGCAAGTAAAAAGCACAACAGGGAGAACGTTAGTATATTTATAGTTTTTACATGAGAAGATTCTAGAGTATTCTCCAAAGATCAACTAGTGATGATTGGATGAGAATCAGCCAATAAGCGTGCACCAAAGTAATCGTGCATTGAGCATGCTTTAATTCATTCTATGCCCCGCTAACACAGGTAGTAAATCTTCATCAATCGAGTTGTCTGGCACATTTGCTACATGCCTTCAACCACCGCCTACTTCGACGGGCGATGTCTGGTATATGAGTAGGTTGGGAGAAAGCTAAAGACAGCCAAACCAGGACGTAACACCAGTTCATAAACTAACTGACAACCGGATTCAACTCATCTTAGTAGGTGTAGACTACCTGGTTTGGGTCCTTGTGATCACCGTAATCAACGTTTAGAGACTGGTTAATATGGCTCAGAATCACTTATAATGGTTCAGGTGCATT